GCACCGACTACATGTCGATCTCTTCTTCTCTTCACCCTTAGACGGTATACGATCGTGACTTTTTGGTCGGCCAGGTAGCCTTCTGTCCATGGCTGGTGGCAAAACTGTTTGTAAGTTATCTGGTATGTCCCACTCAGAAGGATGTGGAATAGGGTAGACAATCTCGGCATAAGTCTGTCGATATACTTCTGTAGTGTAGCAATCCATAGCGTATGTGCTTGAATCATCTTGGTTTAGATGAAGAGAAACTTTTATAACATGGCCACACGGATAACCAGATGTTTGCCATTTCATACAACTACACGTCCTTGCATTTAGATCGACAAGCCCATTTAAGTTATTATCCAGTACTTCAAACAAAGTGTTTGAACATGGTTCAACTCTCCATGACGTTGACTTCACAACACGTTTCGTTATCTTTTTTTCAGTCCATGGTGTAACACGATGTTCCAATGTTCCTGTAAATTTAAATAAATAATACTTAGTAAAATATATGATAAGTTACGAATTCAAAGAAATAATACCTGCATGGTTTCTTTTCTTGTAGTACCACTGTTGAATAGAGGCTCGAAAAAACTCCATTAACATAGTAATGGGTAATTTCCGGGAATGACGACTTAGAGCGTTGATTGATTCTGCACTATTAGACGTCATGAAACCATATCTTGCTCCAAGTTGATGTACTCTTGACCATCTTTCAAACCCGACATCTTCTAGTGTTTGAGCACACTGAGGCAAAACACGTCTTAAACAGTTTATATGCTTATTGAAATCCACTTCCCGATAAGCTTTTACAGCCTTCCAGTATGTCCATTTGTGCTTTTTTATACCAGCAGACCTTGATTTTAGATTTCTATACAAATGAACACCACAAAGTCCATGAAAAGCATCTGGGAAACACCTTCTAACAGCGTTGTCAATTGAGTTTGCCCTATCGGATATGATTGTCAGATTGCTAATAGGACCTATGCAATCCCTAAGATGCCCCATAAACCATGTCCATGAATCAGAGGTTTCAGATTTGCCAACCCCGTAAGCTATTGGCAATATCCCATATTTAGCATCCATGGCTACTGCTAATAAGTTTACTCCAAGGTATCGACCTTTCAAATGTGCTCCGTCAACTATAATAACTGGGCGCATGCAAGTAATAAACGAACGAATCTACAAAATAATATACACAAGAAATATAATCATTTAAATGTGAAATGCATGTAACTAACAAAAATGAGTCAACAGAATTATATTGATTTACTAACCGCAGCACCAATGGCGATAAACAGCAACTCAAAGCGTCCATCTCTATCTGTTTTGATATGAGTTACCGACCCAGGATTTTTCAGCTTTAAATTGTGACAATAAGCCGGCAGTTGGGCAAACTATGCTTCTGGCGACCCCCTTAACAATTCCAAGGCATAACATTTGGCTCTCCAAGCTTGAGAATATGATATACTAATCTTGAACCGAGCATTCATGTCATTCATAATTTCATGTCCCCGATATACCCTGTCATTCAAAAACATTAACTCAGCCAAAAAACCACCCAAGGCAATCATACGCCACGTACAGTTTTTGTCAATCATACACCTTGTTTCGAAACGATCTTTGTTTGATTTGTTAACTTTTAGTTGATAGCCATCTTCCACACATTTCGTATACAAAGCTATCTTCAAGTCTTCCTTTGTATCAAAACAATCATCTTTCTTGATACGAATAACTTTTGTGTAACAATCAACTGTTTTCTTTACCAACTCTTCTTCTGGTATCTGAAGTAATTCTGGCATATTCCAGTTATACTCTTGTGACATTTTCTTTTCTTCGGGGACTTTTTCTTCTTCTTTTTCTTCTTCAGGATTATATGAATTACAGAATGGATGTTCAACATGTTCATTCACAGTCGTAACTTCCTCCTCATTATCATCAACAACATCTTCCTCGGCAACGGCTGTTTCATCATCAAAATTCGGGAATTGACCAATATCAAAATCATTACACGCAAGGTCTGTTTCTTCTTCTGAAACATCATCAAAATCCGAGTATTGACCAATATCAAAGTCCGGGTATTGACCAAGATCAAATTTCGAATACTGACTAGTACTCACAATTTTTTCTGTTGGCTCATCATCGTCTAATTGGTCAATACGAAAACCGGAATTTGGTGCTGAAAGTTGATTGGGATTTGGATTAGAGAAAGGTTGTGGGTTTTGAGAAAAACTTAGTTGATTACTACCCGCTACTGACCCAACAATACTACTTCTAGGTTCAACAACATACAATGTAACATCATCACTTGAAACACTAATGTAAGCAATGAATCGTTCAACATCTTCATTGTCGGTTAACAAATAAACTTTACCATTTTTCTGATAAGATAGCCTAAATCCACTTAGGGGCTCTAAATTCAATTTCTTTGAAACACGTAACATTAGAGTTTCATAAATTAACTTTTTTAATGACAGTTTTAGTTGAAGATTCATGGGTAAAGGCATATATTGTAAAACACCATGAACATTCTCCCATGACCCTCCAAAACACAAATCTATCCAAACATGATCAACATTAGATGATTTCATGGTTGTAAATTAATTTACTAAACAAACGAGCTGCGAAACTAAGACCTGTTGCCGGATGGGGAAGGATGTAGGAACGGATGTCGCCAGAGAGAGTGAAAGATAGAGATGGAATGAGTTGCGATTTAGGGATTTAGGTTATGAGTTGTTGCTGCTGCGTAGATATATACCCAAAAAATTTGTGTTGCGAAACTAAAACCTATTGCGAACTTTGAAAATCGCATTGCGAAAGTCAGTATCGCATTGCGAAAGTCAGTATCGCGTTGCGATAGTCAGTATTGCATTGCGATTTTCCCAATTCGCGTTGCGATTTACTTATTCGCATTGCGAATTGGGAAAATCGCAACGACACTGTAGACCATCGCAACGCGATTTCCAACTATCGCAACACGAAATGCAACGCGAATTTGCGATAATGGAGATCGCGTTGCGAATTAGCGATCGCATTGCGATTTTGTTGATCATTTTGGAAAATCCGGAAAAAGTTGATTAAAATCGTATATTATAAGACATTTTTGGTCACTGAGGCGATTTTCTCATGATAAAATTGTCTCAAAAATCAATTGCTAGATTTGTTTTGAAGGGACTATGATAAAGGACAAAAAAAATAAATATAAGTATTGTTAATTAAATTATATACGATTTAAAATGATTAATATATAATAAAATACTCAATTTAAAATTATATATATAATCATTAAATTATAAATGTAAAAAGAAAATACCAAATTATATATACTCATTAATTTTTTTTGAAAATAATCAGGATATTTCATTAATTGAAAATCGTATCAAAAAAACATTTGTCTGATAAAGACAGAATAAATACAGTCATGACTATAAAAAATAAAATATAACAATGATTAGTAACCAAGATATCCTTTACAAGAAAGAGGACCAAGAGAAATTATTATTGTAATTACAATAAACTAGAACAAAACTACAATCCGGACAACCAGATTATTTAGAAATCAACACTTGGATACTGGATACAAAGATGAAAATAACTTCTTTTCATACCTGCATATATCGATTTACTCCCAGATCGGGGAATCTGATCGCTCATCTGTTGTCAACGGAAAAAACGTTGGGTGAAGAAGATATATATTGGGTGGAAGATGGATCAGTGTATCTTGAGAACCAAGCGGTGGAGGACCGACGTTGGATTGATCCTCCATAGTAGTACAACTTGAGGTTGGAGTCGCTACAAGGGTCGATTCTGTTTTTTCACTTCCTTTCTGTGATTTATTCGCGAAACGTATTCATCCTGAGATTTCAGAGAAAGGAAGTCCAACCATCGTTTTTCTTGTTTTGTTCCTTTTAGTGTTTTTAGCTCTTTTGTTTGCCTATTTTCATTTATCGCCGTATTATTTGTCATCCATTACTACTTTTTAGACTTTTTTATTGCTTCTTTAGTTGGTTTTTATTATTAATAAAATATTGGCATGTCATCATCTTATTAGATAAAAAATATTAAATATATATATATATATATATATATATATATATATATATATATATAAAATAATATTTTTATTTTTATTTAAAAATCTTAAGTGATAATGTCATATCATCATTTATCATGACCTAAACATTACATTAGCATCTGAGTCCGCATGTTTTTGCTTGTTTAGTAACATACGTTAACCGTCAATTGACTAACAGTTTTCATCAAACGAAGATGTTTTTTACTCAAAATGAAAGTTTAATGGTTAAATATTTAAAAAAAATACGGACAAATTTGACAATAAACGTTAAAATAATTTTATTGCATTATTCTTATCCAAATTTACTTTAGGGGCTGTTTGGTTCGGGGAATGTGGAATTCCCATGGGAATAGAATCCACATTCCCCCGTTTGGTTGGCCGGGAATCTAATTCCCGTTAATATTTTATTACTAATAGTGAATTTTTTGGGGTATATTACTGGGAATGTCATTACCCCTTCTCTTAGGTATTGTTGAATTACCGGCGTTTTGGACTAAAATACCCTTAATTTTTTTTTCAAAAATATCATTTTTCTATCATTGAATAAAAAAAATTCTACTAATGTTAAATTACAAATTTATCCTTAAACTATTTTAGATTTACAAAAAAATCTATAATTAAAATTTTATATGAAGTTCAGGGTTAAAATAAAATTTTACTCTTTCATTAAACTCTTTTATATTTTTAATTTTGTAAAAAAAAATATATAAATTTTATGAATTTAAATTTTTTAAAGAAAATATATAAATATATAATAAGGACAATTTGATCAAATATACGTTCTAATAATATTTTATTTCTTTAACCAAACACGATAATCTTACATTTCTACTAAATTAACGAGACAGAAAACATAATATTAATTTTATTCTCGAATAATCTTTTATTCCTATTTATAATCATACATTTCGTTAACCAAATTGGCTTCCTACATTCCATTTATTTGCTCTTTAGTTTTACCCTTTTTAAACAGTGTAAACACCGATCGCCCTTCTGGGTCTGTCTCAGATCGGTGCCAAGGGTAAGAATCCATCAAAAAAATTTACTTTTTTCTTTACCTGAATTATCCATAATTTTTTCCATTCGACATTTCCAGGATTCAAGTTAATTCCACTCCTTATAAGATGTCTAAAGCACAAGATCCATTTTATATCGTCAAAGAAGAGATTCAAGATTCTGTAAGTTGGTTCTTTTCCTGTTAGAGAAATCGATTGCTTGATCTCGTTGATGATTGTTTCTTCTTTTGGGAAATGGGAGTTTGTATTTTTAGATGACATTTTGGGTTTTTTTTTCATTTTTAGATCGATAAATTGCAAGTAAGTTTTCATCAATGGGAAAGAGTTCCTCCTGGAACTGGTGAGCAAGTTCATCTCACAAAAGATCTCCTTGCTAATTGTGACAGCATCCAATGGCAGGTATTATAATTAAGTGTTTTTTAATTTGATTGGATCCTTGAAATGGGTAAAAATATTGGATGATTTGTTTTGCATTGTTTCTATGGGTTAATTGAACAACCTTTTTTGATATTTTGATTCGATTTCGATTTCGATTGCTGATTATGATTCTTTCTTGATAGGAAGGTGGATGAATTGGATAAAGCGATTTCGGTGGCAGCTAGAGATCCTTCTTGGTATGGTATCGATGAAGTTGAGCTTGAAAGCCGGAGGAGATGGACCGCCAATGCTCGTATTCAGGTATCGTTTTATGGTCTCATTACATTTTATTTATGTACGAGGATATATTCAGCAACGGAGTCATTCTACCACGGTGTACGGCCAGCGTGGAGGTGCTTGGGTAGCATTTTAAGCCGGAAGAAGAACAGATGTGCTCTACTAGCACGCAAAAATCTTCAAGCTTTACTAATTGAATCGTTTTATGCTTAATAACCGTCGCATTGCCGGGATTGTCCTGTTAATATGTTATTATAAATGACGAATTTCTGATTCATACAAAATTTGGATTGGTTAACAAGTGGCTAATATTGTTCTTAAACTTTCCCATTAATGGATGGCCTTTATGAATTATTTTGTTCGATAAGGTGGCTGATGTGAAGAAAGCTGTTGGAGCTCGAAAAGAGAATGATAATAGTGCAAGCGTTATCCGTCGAGAATTGATGAGACTGCCAGATTCTCAGCAAGCAGACATATCCAACCACTATAGTGCAGAAGATAACGATGACTTTATAGAATCGGAATCAGATAGACAAATGCTTCTTATAAAGTAGGGTTTTCTCGTTTTCCTCGTATTCGTTTCTAATTATGAGCTCTCGATGTGTTCTCTTCTCCGATTTTGCTAGTTTTCCTATTGTTATCAACTCATGGTTGTAGGCAGCAGGATGAGGAGTTGGATGAGCTTAGCGCAAGTGTCCAGAGAATTGGAGGAGTCGGGCTTACGATACATGAAGAACTTCTTGCACAGGTGAGTTGCAACTGTAGTCGGTATATACCTTCCGATATTCGTGTAGGTTCGGTGTTGTCCATTTGACATCCTAATTTGAATGCCTTGGTGCTTCAGGAGAAGATATTAGATGAGTTGGGTACCGAAATGGACAGTACGAAAAACCGACTGGATTTTATTCAGGTAATTCTTAATCACAACCTGCAATCAGAAATATCAAATATTCGGTCTTTTGTTATTATTTTTCCGAAACTTGACCTGAATGTGTTGCTCGTCTACTCTTTGGCTCTTCCGAATGCAGAAGAAAATGGCTATAGTTATGAAGAAGGCTGGCGCTAAGGGCCAAATAATGATAATAATATTTCTGCTAATGTTGTTCATCATTCTGTTCATTCTGGTCTTCTTCACTTAAAAGACCAGAGGAGAAAATCCCAATTTTATGTTCATACACAAACATGAACACGAACACAAACGAGAACGAGATCCGACATTCTCGAAAATAACCCTTTTGGTTCGAAAATAACCCTTTTGGTTAGCGTCATCTCTAGTGTTTAATAAATGATGAGTTGAAAATGTGCCGAAAGTGTTGAACTTGATTTGTTCTTTGTAAAAAGATTGTGGCATATATCATTACATTATTCTTTACTGTTTAGTTCTTTGCAAATGTAATTGTCTATGGACTAAAATATGACATCTTTTTATTTATATATTTAAAAAAAAGTGAATTATTCATCACTGGTTCAAAATATTGTGAAAAGAAATGTCATTTACCAAGTGCTAAAATTAAATGAACTGATTTTAAAACCACAGAAATATTATAAATCTCTTCAGGCAAGATATATCCGACGCACAAACCAAAATCAAGCACCAAAAACTCGAAACAACTAAGGTCGTTTAATCGATTCCTAAGCTCCGATATTTTGAGATTTGTTAAGGATGACACCTTCGTATTTGACCTGGAACCACTTCATGGCATCCTCCTTGGTAACTCGGTGCTGGATACCGACGCGCGACTTGCACCTACGACGACGACCCACGCGGTACCCAGCTCGTTCGAGAACAACGTAGAAATCCATACCATAGATACCAGTTGAAGGATCATACCTGAAATGCAAACAAGAGTTGTTATTTATGCCCTCTATGCATGACTGGTTGAATGAAGATGCCAAGAACAGATATCCACAACACTAGAAATCGTTCCGGCTCCCTCAACCGGTGTTGTTTGGGCTCTTCATTCTGTTTAAAGCATCCATGCTTTATACCAACTTAGTCATATGGTCATAAAGACATGAATATCCAAAGTCCCACTAAATGCATCAAAAACACATTCAATATTTCTCCCTGAATCCGAAACATGGCACACAAAACAGTAGTAACGTTTCCATGCCGATCGCTATGCAGAAAAGCAAAACCTTTGAATAACTCGGCCCAGTTAGACATTGCCTATTTGCTTTGATATCTCGTAACTTCATCCTAAAGGGACATTTATTGGGGAAACATCTCATAACTTCGGGACTTCACGGGGACTTTTACCCAAAATCATGGGGATGTCGCCGCGTAGCCCCGGAGACTTCCAGAAGTCTGTAGTCCCGGCGACTTCCAGAAGTCGCAGTGTAGTCCTGGAGACTTCCACCGAGTAATGTAGCAAAGATCCTTGCTCAAAAAAGTAATTTTTACTAAACCTTGTATTGAACCATTTTGTCTCACCCCGTCATTCAAGCAACTTTGCCCCTGATGAAAATAGGTGCATTACCATTCAAGTAATTACAGTGTTTAATCATTAAGTTTCAATGAAACCAATGACCTAAACCCATCAATGAACCAAACTTGGTTTATCATCTTCATCAACATCAACATAAAACATCAAAAAGAATAAGCTACTTACTTGATACCAAGATCAATGTGCTCTTGGATACCGAATCCAAAGCAGCCAGTATCACTGAAATTCCTCCTCAAAAGCTCATATTCCTTAACCTTCAAACCACTCTCAAGAAGCTGCATAGCTTTCTCCCCCCTCACAGTCGCATAACAAGCAATCTTTTCATTACGCCTTATTCCAAAAGATCTCACAGTGTATCTAGCTGCTCAAATAAAACCCCCAAATTTCTCATTTTCATTACGAACAACAAATCCCACAGAAAAAAAAACATAAACCAAAATCAGAATTTGTTTCAAGAATTTCACCCTTGGAGAATACCGGGGTTTGACCACTGAGTTGTTCCAGGACCTAAATAAAGTGCAACAAGGATTAAACATAACTCAAGTTAAGGATTTGAGAAGAGAAAATCAAAGCGCATCCTGCTTTTTGTCTGCCAATTACCTTGGCGTCGCGTGTAAGACGATCGCCACTCTCACCGACTCTCACCGACGGAGATGTTGAGGACACGTTTCTGAACTTTAATCTCCCTCATTGGGTTTGAAAGCTTCTTCTCTGAGGCCTTTCATAGTTACAAGAATGAATTAATGTATGAGAAATTACCTTCAAATTAAGATAATAGATTGATTAAGAGAGAGGGCTACCATGGCGGCTGCGTTAAAGATGTGATTTTAGAAGAACAACTTAGGGTTTGCTAGGGTTTTATCTTTGTTAGAACTTCACTAGTTTGCCCTTTATTTTTGGCATAAAATACAACTAAATACGATAGGGTGAAGCATTTACCATCTTAATTCTGGGGTAAAATACACAAATGATCCGCGATTATAAGTTATTATTTTGTTGAGTCATTCAACAATTAAAAATTATAAAATAATTCCTTAATCATAGGGTTCTATTTTGTTGAGTTCCGATTATTAAAAATTTAAAAAATTACAAATGATTCTTTGTAAACTAAGAAATGAAAATATAAGAAAAAAATAACTATAATAGGATTTGATTATAGTTGGATGAAACACTTAATTCTTTAAGTAAAGTCGGGGTTTGAACTATATATAATTATATTAATTTTGTTGATTATCACTTCAGCTTCTTCGTTAAATATTAACGACCCACTTAAATAATTAAATAATATGATTAACAAAATTAAATATCAATTATCAAATTAGAATCTGTCCGCCATTAAATATCAATGATCAAATTAGAATCTTTTCCCAAAACAAATGCACAAGAATTGAAGAGACTCATGGCTTGAATGCAGAAAAGGCCACCCCAGAGTTGTGTCTTCCAAGTCCAAAAGAATTCGATATTGCTGAATCATAAACAGATTGGTAGAGCTATGAGTTCGGGTCGAAATCAACCGATGTTTATGTAGACGACGACAATAGGAACTTGTCATCTAGTAAGTACCCAGATAATATGATCACATACTCCTAAATCCAAGTAACATAGATTGAGAGTCTTACCAACATCATGTCGCTTCTTTTCATTGGCAACAGTGTCGAACTCGACTGAAGTTCTGGATTCTGCATCGAGAATGAGACACTTTAAGCTTTTATGGAGTCCATATAACAACAACATTGTTTAATCCAGCAGCGTAAACGAGACGTTATCCGAACAATCATCACTCGGGATTGGGAGGTTTCTGAAGATAAAAGAGGAAAGCACAAACTAAATTCCCAAATATCTCAAGATGTTCTATTAAACGGGCATCTAGAACATACAAGTTGGTTGATTGGTGGGATGCACCAATCCTGTGATAATGGCTTTCACAGTGGCAATGGCTTCTAAACCACCAGCTGCAACCAGACAATGACCGGTCATAGACTGAAAGAAGAAGCAAAGCAATCAGCCTATAGCAGACGAGCAACATTACATATGGTCATCTCGAATTTCACGAAATTTGGGAGAGAAAAAGAGAGATTACCTTCGTTGAATTGATTTTGATGTCTGATGTATTCTTGAATATCTTCTTGATAGCATTTATCTCAGCTAGGTCACCGGCTAGAGTAGAAGTTGCATGTGCATGGATGTAATTAACCTGAAAAGCAAAAGGACTTGCTTAGTTTACTAATCTGTTAACTCTCAAGATCTACATAAATTTACTTGGATAATAAAAGTTCCGAGGTATGCGTATTTTGAAGAGATTCAACTGGAACACCAGAGAATACATTAGTGCCATTGAATTTATTTTTCGAAAGAAAAAGTTTCCACAGTGTCAGCAAACACGGGTATAAAGAATTGAAGAAACAACACAGCACGGGAAATGAGAAATATATAGAAACCCGACAAAAATGGATTACTCCTATATGTTTGAAGAGAATCGAGAGGAAGAAGAAGAATTACCTCCTCAGGGTATACACCTGCGTCTTCAAGCCTTCTCTCAATGCACGAACACACCCCAAGACCATCGGCCCTTGGATCAGTCATATGATAAGCATCACAATTAACAGCTCCATGTAATCCCCTAAACCAGACCCAAAATAATTAGGTCGAATCTAGAGATCTCAATAATTAAAGTTCCCAAAATCGTACCCAAACATTATTTAAAATATATTAAAGATTAACCCTCACATTTATAGATTTCATACACTTAAGTAACCGAAATAAATCAATAATAATTAAAAACGTAAATCAAATATTTATCGAATTCAAAAATTCAAGTCTCAATGTCCAAAACAAAATTTATGTTTAATGTTCTAAAATAGTTAAACATAACAAATATTATCCAAAATAAATATTAATTAAATGTGCAATAGAAAACCCAAGTAAAAATGTCATACTAAATAAAATAAAATTTGGGCAATATCGTAACTCCAAGTATCGAATCACCTAAATTTAAGTATCTGAAAGAGAGAAATTAAGGGAGTGTAAGCTTTAAAGCTTATTGCGCCACTAATGTGCAAATAAATACAAGTCATAGCATAAACCAAATCAACTACAATTATTCATAGTCCAAGTCAATAGTGATAACCATATATTTGAACGATATGCAAATGCTTATGCACTCACCCGTACTCCAAACACTCCATCAGTGAGTGGGTTCCCCATAAGCACTCAAACTATAATCACTCCGTATCCGAAGATTGGGTCCGCCACAAAGGTAGAGGTCACGGAATCCGAAAGTGATATTCACCTCGTTGAGTGAATGCACTAAACTTCCCCTATCAAAATTCATCTCAATATGACATGCAAATGGCACATATATTAGTTATTCGATCCGATCCGATCCGATCCGATCCGAATAACACATATTCGAATAACAAATACTCAAATATCATTTATCCGTATTTCGATCCGATCCAAATGGAATAGCTACATAAACACATAATCTGGATGCATAACATAATATGACTCCAATAAATAATATATGTCACATTACACACATTTTCGAATTGCTTCATATACAACAATATCATAGAACCATCATGCTTGAAGTCAAACTTCCAATCAACATATTTATATGAATTATAAATAGGGTAAATTACACGCTTACTCATTGAACTTTACTCTCTCTCCTGTTTCACTCATTGTTCTTTCAATTTTTTCAATATGTTCACTAAACTCTAGACATTAAACTTTTTTGGTCACTCAAACATTAAATTTCTAACGCTGTTAAATTAAAATTGAAAAAAAAATTAAAAGTGAAGTGAGTGAAATAGGAGAGAGAATAAAGTTCAGTGAGTAAACGTGTGCATGTTTTATTATTAAAATAAGCCATGTGAGCACGCTGTTACTGAGTAAACGATCGAGTGACCAAAAAAATTCAATGTCTAAAGTTCAGTGAGCAAATTGAAAAAAATAAAAATATGGGGAGTGAAATAAGAGAGAGAGTAAAGTTCAGTGAGTAAGCGTGTAATTTACCCTTATAAATAACACAACAATACCACAAAACAAATCATGTTTCAAATTAATTTTTCAATTAGACAAACAATCAATCAACACAAAGTAATATAGCACCTGACAGAGACACACCTTGTGTAATACACCAAATTTTGGATAGTGACCAAAATATAAATTTTGAATGTTTAGTGGCCAAAGTATAAAGTTTAAAAAAGTTTAGGGACCAAAGTGTAATTTTTAAAAGTTAGGTATTTTGACCCATAACTGAATAGTTCACCCCCAAGAATGACATTTTTGTGGGAATCAAAATTTTGGTACAGGATTTGTATTAAAAGTTATAAGGCAGTAAAATTCATTATAGAATTGGATAATTAGATCGAATCAGAATTTCAAAAAAATTTGAAGGATGATAGATAAAAGTTGTAAATATTATTTATAAATTTTAGAATAGTGAAATTTAATATGGATCAGTGGAATTGAAGTCAATTTTCCATATTTAGTTGAAATTGGAAATTTTAGTGACTAAATTGTAGCTTTTGAAAATTGCAAGGGCAAAGGTGAAAAATGGATTTTTATTTGTTCATCTTTGACCATGAAGATGATATAGATAATATGGTGTCATGGATGATGTTATAGCAATGTCAAAGTGGAAATTATCATATTTTGGTAAGGATAAAATTGTAATTTCTAATTAAATGAATTTTAAATTTATTTTTAATACATTAAGACAAGTGTATATGTTAATTATGAAGAGAAAACAAGAACTTTCAGCCCCTATTCTTGCTCAAGTCGTGCACCATCGTAGCTACAAGGTAAGAATGACATTTTGGATTGTAATACAACAAATTTTGGTTAGTGACCAAAATGTAAATTTTGAATGTTTAGTAGTTAAAGTATAAAGTTTGGAAAAGTTTAGGGACCAAAGTGTAATTTTCAAAATTTTAGTGACTAAATTGTAGCTTTTGAAAATTGCAAGGACAAAGGTGAAAAATGGATTTTTATTTGTTCATCTTTGACTATGAAGATGATATAGATAATATGGTGTCATGGATGATGTTATAGCAATGTCAAAGTGGAAATTATCATATTTTGGTAAGGATAAAATGGTAATTTCTAATTAAATGAATTTTAAATTCATTTATAATACATTAAGACAAGTGTATATGTTAATTATGAAGAGAAAACAAGAATTTCCCGCCCCTATTCTTGCTCAAGTTGTGCACCACCTTAGCTACAAGGTAAGAATGACATTTTGAATTGTAATACAACAAATTTTAGTTAGTGACCAAAATGTAAATTTTGAATGTTTAGTAGTCAAAGTATAAAGTTTGGAAAAGTTCAGGGACCGAAGTGTAATTTTCAAAATTTAGGTATTTTGGCCCATAGATGAATAATTCACCCCTAATAATGACATTTTTTGGGAATCCAAATTTTTGTACAGAATTTGTATTAGAAGCTATAAGGTAGTAAAATTCGATATAAAATTGGATAATCGGGTTGAATCGAAATTTCACGAAAATTTTAAGGATGACAGATAAAAGTTGGAAATTTTATTTATAAATTTTATAATAATGAAATTTAATGTGGATTAGTGGAATTGAATTTGATTTTTCATATTTAGTCGAAATTGAAAAATTTAGTGACTAAATTGTAGCTTTTGAAATTTGTAGCTTTTGAAAATTGCAAGGGCAAAAGTGGAAAGTAGATTTTTATTTGTTCATCTTTGACTATGAATAGATAAGATGGTGTCATGGATGATGTTATAGCAATGGCAAAGTGGAAATTATCATATTTTGGTAAGGTTAAAATGGTAGTTTCTAATTAAATGAATTTTAAATTCATTTATATTAAATTAAGACAAGTGTATATGTTAATTATGAAGAGAAAACAAGAATTTTTAGCCCCTATTATTGCTCAAGTCGTGCACCACAATAACTACAAGGTAAGAATTTTATTTTATATTTTTAAGCTTATTCGATTGATTTTTGGATTAATCTATTATAAAGAGAATTAATCCTCTTGAAATTCTCTATCATTTGGTATAAAAACTACATGGAAATCATGCTTATATGATGAGATTGTATATTATGGTTTATGAAGGATATGTTTGATTTTGAAGATTTGATGGAAGATTATTATGTTTTTGATGTTATAGATTGTTTCTAAAGCATATGTGATGATTAAAACACTTGAAATCAAGCTTAAACATGTTAGGCCTAAACCTAGTGTAACATCCTCAATACCGGGTTAGTGATTTAAGTGTAAGATTTTTAAATGTAATGACCAAAATAAATAAATTGAAAAGTGAAGGAATTAGTTGAAAGATGTTGGTGTAGGATTAATTAGCAAATGAAGGAAGAGTAAAAGGGTAAAAGGGTCATTGAACAAGTGGATGAATAAAATATTAGTTGGGTTATTTTATAAACCCACGTGGGGCTTATGTAGGAAACAAATGTTTCCAGATTTCTCTTATTTCTTCTTCCTTCTTTCTTCATCTTCTTCTTCTTCTCCCAAACGTGAAGACCCAAGCTCAAGGTAAGTTTGATTTCTTTTGGTTAATCCTTCAAATTCAAGCATGGTTTTGATTCATGAAGCTTTAGGAAACATGATGGAAGGAAAAAAGGGGCTTAGAAACTCAAAGAGTTTTGAGTTATAGAAGATTAAAGAGAATGAGTTTCAAAGTGAATTTCTGAAAAAGAGTTAATAAGTGAATTTAGAAGTTGAATTTGACTTGTCATAGGTGTGAATAATAAGTTATAAGTGTTAGAATTAAGTTTGGATAACAACGAAAATTGGGTATGATTCTTAGCTTTAAGAATTTGAATGAAGTATGGGAGATTCTAAAGTGTTGAAATGATAGAAGTTAGTTAAAATGGTTGTAGTTAAGTTTGGTGGTATGAAAGGAACTTTGTATGAGAAAATTTAGTGAAGAGTTGATGATTTTCGGGTTTGAACAGTAAATTCTGGGTTTTTACAGATTATACAGGGGAACCGATTCCCTATTGGGAGGGTATCGATACCCCCTAAAGTAAAAGTTGAAGTTTGGTTCATTAACTTCGTTTAAGCTATGAGTATCAAATTATAAGGTTTAGGCTTTTGATAATTGTCTCGGAAATTATGTTTATGTAGATATCGAGCCTAAACGAGTTCCGGAACAAGTGACAAGTAAGAACGAACGAGGGATTAGAAACGATTGAGAAAGAAATAAGTTCTAGAATTGGTTCAAATCCAGCAAGGCGAAGGTGAGTGCATATTATAATCATAGTACAATGGAATAAGACTTGTGATAAGTCTAATTCCTATGTTGATTTTTATAGTACAATAGTTATGAACATACATACATGATAATTATTATGACACATGCATAAAGTATATATGTTCATATGATTTGATAAATGATAAATGAGAATAGATTCAAATGCACATGTGATATGATAAGTGATATGAGCTATGTGATCACAAGAGAAATGACATGAGTACAAGAACATATGAAACATAAGAATAATGCCCATGGTATACGATATGAGAGCTATATGTATAGTTGGTATGCCAAGAGTCGAGGGTTTCATAGGTCCTTCAGGACAACTCATAGGTCCTTCGGGACAAAAATTTCATGTGCCACTC